GTAAATTTGAATTATGGATGTCAACCTTAGAGTCTAAAGGTTTTTGCTTGAGTAGATCTAAAACGGAATATATGGAGTGTAATTTTAGCTGTAATAGTCCTAGTGAGGGGATTGTGACTTTGGGCGATCAAGTCATTAATAAGAGTACACGTTTTAGATATCTTGGATCTATTGTTTAAAGTGATGGTGAAATAGATGGGGATATTATCAGTAGAATTCAAGTTGGATGGTTGAAGTGGAGGAATGCATCGGGCTTGTTATATGATAGAAATGTGCCCCTCAAACTTAAGGGAAAATTCTATAAGATGGTAGTGAGACCTGCAATGCTTTATGGTGCCGAATGTTGGCCATTAAAAGAGAAGCATAATACTAAATTAAGTGTGGCAGAGATGATGATGCTCAGGTACATGGATGAGTGGCTTTACCCTTAGAGATAGGATACGAAATGAGCATATACGTGAAAAGGTTGGAGTAGCTCCAGTAGAAGATAAGATTAGAGAGAGTCGCCTTAGATGGTTTGGTCACATAAAATGGCGGCCTTGCGATGACCCGGTTAGGAGAGTAGAGGTATTAGATTTAACTTATGTTAAGAAAGATAGGGGTAGACCTAAAAAGACTTGGTTAGAAAATATTAGGAATGACCTTTCTTTATTAGATTTAAACGAGAATTTGACTTTTAATAGAACACAATGGAGAAAAAAAATTGATGTAGCCGACCCCACATAGTGGGATAAAGGCTTGATATTGTTGTTGTTGTTCATTAAATGGATCAAAGTCTGTATAGATAATGTCTATTACTTTATTTGCTTAAATGAAAACCTTGAAGGATTATTACCCTCCACTATTGGGCTAGGACAATGATGTCTTCTTTCTCCTTACTTATTTTGTATAGCCATGAACGAGCTTTCCAACCTATTTGAGTATGCCATTCAAAGCAACACCTACTCGACTATACAAATGGGAAATATGCATATCTCTCATCTCATGTATGATAATGACCTTGTTTTTGGTACAATTAGCCTACAAAACCTGATAGGCATAAAATATATTTTTACTCAAGTCAAATCTCTTTTTGGCTTGCCCTAAACCTGATCAAGAGTACCATCATATTTTTTTTGAGAATAATCTTATGCAGCAACATCACAATGAAATCTTGAATATTTCTAGTGCATCTCACTCCATCACATACTCGAGAATATCCATTTCTACCAAGAGACTGCTCATAGATGATTATAACCCCCTTATTGGTAAGGCTCTTTTACTTATGGATGCTTGAAAATCTAAGTCTCTTTCATTTGTTGGCATACTACAAATTCTAAAATTTACAATGTGAAATGCTATTACATATTGGATAAGAGGCGATGTTCTCCCAAAAAACCTGTTGTAAAATGATTAACAAAGCATATGCTAGATTTTTATTTTATGAAGATGTAGATGCCAGAAGGTTACAACACATTTTCTGAGCTAATACATGTAAACCTAAAGAATTTGGGGGTCTTGGCCTCCCAACTCTTTATGCTATGCATGCTGCTTATTCTTGCTCCTTAATTTGGAGAAGTTGGGGCTCTTATGACATTACTGATATTTGGTGGAGGCAAAAATACGGTTCTATTTGGCAAAAATTAATAAAAAAATGTTCCATTATTTGGAAAAAATTTAAGAAAGGTGTTGTTACCATTATTCCTCATTTTACTTTTAAAATCCATCTTGATTATAAATTTTTCCTTTTCTGAGAATCCTGATTTGAAGGAAAAGTCTTTAAGACATATATGACAACTCTATTCTTGAGATCGGATTAGATGCTAATGTCCCTTTCTATTTACTTATCTAAAGTTTTTTGCGAGATAAAAAAAAAACTAGCACATACATGAAGAGTATAATTGTGACACTATTAAGTGGTCTAAGGCCTTTGTTTTGAAATTTTAAGTTTTCATCATTGCCTACTTCTCTAACTTGTCTAAGGTTGGTAGAAACAAGTTTGGGACACGACGATCTTCTTTGAGGTTTTCTACTTATGCTTGGATGGCTTGTTTGTTGGGTGACATAAAAAATGTTGATGCGCTAGTTAACTGCTCCATTTTTGTAAAACGTGCATGCTCTCTCTGTTTGCTGCAAGCTTGAGACGATCTCTCATGGCTTTTTGAATGCGACTATTCTTTCAAAGTCATATATAATGTTCTTCATACGGTTTCTTCCTTTCTTTTGCGGCCTAATCTCGTCTAATTTTTTGAAATCTATGCTAGCCAGCAGGATCTCACACCCAAAATTAGGAATACTGGATATATTTCTATTTATTGTACAAAATATCAAATTTGGACAGAAAGGAATCAAAGCAGATCATATGGTCTTAAAGCATTTGTCCTAACACCTTATCTCAGATCATCAACAAAGTTATTACAATAAAAGTGCGACTTTGTCGGATTCATTAATAGGCTTCTTTTTTCAAAATGAGTATTTAGGTAGGACTTGGGTTGAGCTTGGAATTGATCAGAGTCCAATTTAGCTAACTTGCACCCGATTTTTACAAATGGGTGAGAAATTTAGACATGGACCCTGCTCGCTGGGTCATTGGGTTGATTCAACCCAATTTTCAAACAAGTGCGAGATTGAATGCTGTGAGCGGCGAGAGCGTGTGCTGCAAGCATAGAGCGTGAGAATGAGTTGCGTGATTGAGTGTGAGGGTGGCATGGTAGTAGGGGTGTCAATTCAGGTCAACGGGTCGGGTTCGGGTCGAACCCAGAACTGATCCGACACTATTTGGGTCAACTCGAACCCGACCCGTTTTTAAAAACGGGTCAGGTTTCCGGACCCGAACCTGACCCGATTCGGGTCCGGGTCAACCCGACCTGACACGAATGACACGGGGTTGACCCAAAATTGCTAGTTTTCGGGTTAAAACGGGTCAATATCGGGTTTTCGGGTCAAATATGAGTTTTCATGTCACTATCGGGTCAATTTCGGGTTGCTGTGTCAACCCGAACCCTACCTGATTTTTATAACAGTTTGATTTGTTGAATCCGAACCCTACCCGTTTCGGATTTGAGTTGACCCGAACCCGGATTTTTTCGGCTCGGGTTTCGAGTCGTGTCAAAAATTGACACCCCTACATGATAGAACCGTCGAGTGCCTTGGTGCAAGCAGACGAGCAAGTGTGATTCGATCCTGCGAGGCGTGTGCTGGTGCGAGACTGTGCTACCAAACGAGGGTAGCTTGGCGGGACTGCGCGAGGGTGATGCAAAGCATGCGCTGTGGTAAGGGCGGCCTAGGGGGTTGCCCAGAGCTCGAATGTAAACTAGACTTGTGGGGTGAATGGAAACAGGACTCGAGCCAATTCCAGATCAAATTTAAGTTACCAAGTTAACCCTAATAAGTCCCAATTTTGTTAAATAAGTCAAAAAAATGAAATCCGAATATTATCCATTTGCTAAACAGCCTGGGTTATTGAATCAGATCAATAATTATAAATGTAAAAAAAAAAAAAAAACATACTTGGGTACTGAGCCCGCCACCCGATTCGCTTCAACAACCTCATCCAAAAAAATATAAATAATACAACAAATTCTCTCTCCACGTAAGTACGAGGCTGCTAGCCATATAACAACTCATTTTAAATAATACCTCGGTGAAGCACCTACTATATGCTTTGAGGGGAATTTGCTCCCCTTATGCCGGACGATGATGTGCGGGGCTAACATTGCCGGGTTGCCTCGTTTTGGTCTCTGCCTTTGGATGGCCAGGTCTGATCTTCTTTATGGTAGGTGCCGCACAGGGTGCTTATTCTTGGTTTGGTTCTGGTTGTGTGACAACCAGGGAATTCTGATTCCCTTGGAAGGTCTGGATTTGCTTGTCTACTGGCTGCTTTACTTCTATCAGATAAGTGTGTTATTGATTCTTACCTGGCAACCAAGGTTTGAGTGGTAATATTTTGCTGAGCTGATGCATGATGCTTTTGGCTGCTATGTTTAGCCCCTTTTTCCTGAGTCCGTGCTTTTTTGCCCAGCTTTTCTCTTTGCTGGTTTTGCTTGGTTTGCTTAGTTTTTTCTCTTTGTATTGTTTTGGGTTTTCTTTTCTCTCTTCCAGTTCTTTTTCCTGGAAGGGAGCCCTCTTGTAATCCTTTGCTTTTAATATACGGGCTAAGCCCCAAAATTTACCCAAAAAAAAAAAACTCATTTTAAAGTCAAAATAGACTGTCCGTACATTGCATGATAAACATTGCCCGCAGTTCACTCGGCAACGCCCACGAGGCGTGCTGTACTCCGCCTCGACCGGCCGAAGTGCCACGTGGCGACTTTTCTGGATAACAAGCAGGCGGCAGGTCCTTATCATAACCAAATTTCTTTAATTTCAGTCTAATATTTTTCTTAGAAAATATTCATTCTAAAATCTATCTTAAGCAGAACATCTTATCTGGATTAATTATGTAGCGTTTTGCTTCGTACCATTTTGGCTCTCTCATCGTCGGAGGCGAAAAGGGAATCGGCCGTCGCCGGCGAAGGATTGAGGTCGGCGGAAAGATTGTTGGACTGATGTCAATTGCGATGGAGAGTGGGGCGGGGATCGGAGGGTCGGGATTCGCTAGGAGAATCGCATGCGTCGCGATCTTTGATGCGGCGGAGATGGAGGAGAGGAAGCGGATGGATCCTTCGCCATCGCCGGTGGAGACGACGGTGGCTTCGTCGACGTCGACCTCGTCGTCAATCGGGAAGGATAGCGATGAGGTGGGGTCGCAGGAGGATGATCGGGAAGGAGAGGTGCAGAGCGCGTACAAGGGGCCGCTGCTGGGGACGGAGTCGCTTGAGGAGTCGCTGCCGGCTAGGTATTTTAGCTTGGCCTCGTGTTTGGATTTGAAAGTTTTGCTGCTTGCTTTTCTGATTTAGGCGTTGGTTGATCCATTTCGAGTGAATGTGAAAAAGGAAGGGAAAGTTTTGCGTATGTTCTCTGATGTTAACTTGGATTTCATGTTTTGACGGTTGATCGATTTTGTATCCTCGCTTTCTAGGACGTCGAATTTCATTTGCATGGCTTGCCTGTTTGCACGAATGTTGGGAAAACGACCCTTTTTGGTTTCTTCAGCACTTTTTGCGGTTGAGCATGATCTTTTGGCTTCTTCAGCAATATTTACAGTTGAGTAAGATCGATCGAATTCGCTTTGGATATCATGTAGCCCATTTTCTTGTATTCCCCAAATCATGGAGATTTTGATTACTGCAAGGGGGTGATCTGAATGTTCTGTGGTCTGGATTATTAAGAGGGAAGAAGAGTTTAGTTAACAATCTGGCGTCATGGCAGTGATCAATTCAGATTTTGGGCCGTTCTCTCTCTTTTTTGTATGATTATCAAACAACTTGGAACGCTATCTAACCTGTAAAATAATGAGATTCTTGCTATCTTCTCGATTCAATAAATTGCATGAATGCCAATTAGCGTCAATTTTGTGATCCCTTTCATTAGGCTTGTAGTGCCTCGCATGCAATTTTTCCCATTTACATAGGTTCAAAAGTGTTCTTTTTTATCTTTTTTGTGCATCGAATTCCATTTTAAAACCAACACTATTGTGAACTAGCCAACCTTGAAAGCCATGCCTAGCTTGCATCTAACCCTGGCACTACTCCTGTTGGTCAACCAAGAGAGGTTGGTTGATCAACAAATTTAGTGGTCAACCAAGCAATAGTTTTCTAGGTCTAGAAATCAAATTGCTGAGTAGGAAATTTGTTGGTCAACCGAGAAATTTGTTGGCTGACCAAAATTGGTCGACCTTTGAAGGTTTTTGGTCTCAAATTAGTGTGTGCCATATGTAAAGCAATGATGAACCCATTTAGTTTTTGGTGGAAAACCCCTTTCTCGCAAAGTTAGATGGATTTTTTAATTTTTTTATTTATTTATGGAGGACTATTATTCACCTTAATTTTCCATGTGTTCTGATTATTCCTATTTTGATTATCTTAGTTCTATTTTAATTATTTTAAAATTTAAGATTAGTAGTTGATACTATTTAGCATCTATAAATATGTGACTTTTCTATACTTTGATTTGGGAAATAAGATTCTTTTTTTTTCTTCTGTTATTTCTTTTATTTTTAGCAAAACCAAACAACCTTCCACTAAGACAGCTCTTGAAGTTCGACAAGGGAATTTTGGATGGCCCGGGGGCTAGGAGGATGAGTCAAATCATTTAGCATAGTTCAGTTGATCATTGATAGAGAAGGATTGATGCATGATGCTTCAGGGAAATGGTAGACCCTTCCCAAATGTAAACAATAGTTCCTTCTTTCGGAAGATGAAGCCCTAAGAAAATAATGCCATGGTAGATATTAAAAGATTTTATTGGCTTTACATATGATATATTTCAAGAGGATGAGAGATAAAGACCAAGGTCACTTGGATAGAAATCTTTGTTGAGGTGGAAAAATTAGAGATGAGAGCCATGGAGGGTTGTAATGCTGCATCCAAGCAACTTAAAGGCCTTACTATACTCTCGTCATTAGCCAGCCTCTATTGAAGTCATGTTGATGTAATGAAGTTCTGCCGTCATCTAAACCCTATTTAGTTATCTACTCTTAGGCAATGACTTGCATAGTTGCATACTTTTATTTAAAGAGCCATAAAAAAAGAATTTACTCATAGTTAACTCAATTTTTTTTAATCATTTCTTTCAAAATGAAATTGTTTTTTCTAAAAAGAAAAGATTTATTAGTCGGTCTTAAGAAGTTGGAAGAAGGCTAATCATAATAGATTGTAGATTTTCTAGCTGAATATGATAAAGTAAAATTTACTTAGAAGCCCTTGTGACCCATCTCTTGGAGAAGAGGAGTTCCATAATTGAATGGGAGCTTGTGATTTGAAAACTTAATGTAACAATGGGATTTATTGGGTTAGGAGCTGAAGCTGAGAAATTGATGAGGCCCTTCTTTCTATTAGCCAAAAGGCTGGCTGCAATGTACTTGTGTCGAGAGAATGTCTCATACCTACAAGGTGAAGCTAGACTCTAGTATAAATAAGCCTTCAACGGATTCAAGGTTTCAAAACCCTATCAAATTTACAATTCCCAATTGAAAAACTTTGGATAAAAAAGGGAGCAATATAGAAGAATCATTGTTAACACAATCAAATACCATCCCAAGATCAACTTTAACATGGAAAGACCTCCAAGAAGTCTTCAGTGGTAACACCTTACAAACTTCATGCTGAGAAGCATATTATCCAAAAGAGGTGGGTCACAAAGGCCCCTCCCTATGCATTATAGTTGATAAAGGTAGGGCCACCAGCTTGTTTGATATGAGTGTGGTTATGATCCCATAATCTTCCATCAAACTTACATGGGATGACATAAGAGAAGACAAAAGTGGTAGACTGGTAGTCTTGAAGCACCATCATGCATCTTGGCCGTCCTAAAGGAGTTGTGAACTGCATCAATGAATTGCCTTGCAACCATAGGCTAAACCTACCTAAAGAACTCAATGTTGAAGCTATTTGGCTCGACTATTTGATAGTAATGGTACTCAAAATCGCCTTTCTAATATTTTCAACAGAGAAAGGTGTGATGAAGGAGGTGTTGGTCGGGATAGAATTCTTGATCTATATGCATGCACTAATGGGCATGAATTGAATTATAAAGCCTATAGAAGTGAAGTCTATGGTAGTGTGGGAAACGTTTAACTAGGAGTGGTGGGTGGGGCCTTCGAAGCCCAGAAGTTTGCTTCAAACAAGAGCTTGTTATCCATTGATGCATTGTTAGGAAAAGCAAATGCCATCTTCCACTTCTCTGATAGGACTTGAAGATCAAAACAGCATACAACAATATAAAAAAATAGCTACTCACTCCAAATAGTTCCAGAAATAATACCAAGAGAGCTGTTTTTACTAATTTCCAAGCAAAGTAAGATAAGATACAAGTTGAGATTTATTGTTCGAGAGTTGAATCATCTCTCCCACAATTCCTAGCAACTAATAGGAACCCCAAACACTTCACAAAAACTCATGTAGAAATTTAAAATATAACCCTCCATAATCTCTCCCCTTAAACAGCCCAGTTCCCCTAATAAATGCTCCTTACATCTTTTCCAAAGACACCCAAGCCTCTTCTTCTATAGGTAATAAAGGAGATTCTAGGCCCCACCTGGGCAGCTGAGCTATTTTTAGTCGCATCAATACTCCCCTCCCAAAAAGCCACATTGTCCTCGAGGTGGAAAAAGAGAAACTGCTTCTGGATGGTATTGTAGGGCTCCCATGTCACCTCATAGTTTGATAAATCATTCCACTTGATCAGCACCGCCCTGATCCCATTATCTCCTTAGCGCACCCCTTTCACCTTTAGTGGTTCTAATATTACATCCATATCCTTCGATAGTTTGGCTAGTAGTGCGGGCAATGGTGTGTGATTTTCGATGGCTCATCTCAGTTGCGATACATGAAATACGGGATGGACGGCTGAGATTGGTGGCAATCGTAGGCGATATGCTATTGCACCGATGCGCTCCACTACCTCATAGGTCCCAAAGTAGTGGGGGGAGAGCTTCTCATTCCTTCGTTGAGCCAAAGTCCTCTGTATGTAAGGTTGGATCTTCAGATGAATTTTGTCCCCAATCTCAAACTGCATGTCTCTCCTGTGTCTATATTGCCCGCTTCTTCATGATTTATTGTGTTCTCTATAGATGTTCCTTCAATTCTGCCAAAACGTGATCTCTTTCTTCTAAGTACTGCTCCATTGATGACATCAGTGTATTGCCATTCCCATAATATATCAGATGAAGTGGATCCTTCCCATATAGAATTTTAAATGGCGCTGTCTGGGCTCCTGAATGATATGAAGTGTTTACCAATATTTCACCCATGATAACCATTTGATCCACATTTTTGGTTTATCTGATACAAAATCAATGAAGATAAATCTCCATTGTGATATATTCACCATCTCCGTCTGACCATCTGTCTGGGAGTGATAAGCTGTACTTCGCTTCATGATAGCCCACTGTATCTCGAATAACTTTCTCCAGAAATGACTCAAAAAGACATTGTCCTGATCAGACACAATGGCCTCAAGTATGCATTGCAAATGGACCACCTCTCTAATAAATGCGGCTGCCACCGACACCGCGGTGTATGGGTGGTGTAAGGGAACAAACTGAGCATATTTGCTCAATCTGTTTACCACCACTAGAATCACCGTGAACTCATCCGATCTAGATAGTCCCTTAATGAAGTCTATAGTAATCTCTTCCCACACCTTCTTGGATAATGCTAAAGGCTGTAGAAAATCACCTGGAGCCATAGCCAAGTATTTGTGTCTCTGACACACATCACAATTGGCCACCAACTCCTCTGCTGCTAGCCTATGATATGTCTTCTGAACTGTTTAATGACCCCTAATAGCCATGTCATGAAACTCCTATAATAAGTGAGGGATGTATGGTGATGTCCTCGAAAGCAAAAACCGTGCTTAATCTAACAACTTCTAACCCATCAAAGAGTAACTAGGATGGCTATCCTTATCCTGTGGTAAGTCTCTTTTGATCTTACTCAGCTCGTCATCTTGCTCACTCTTATGCTTCAAGGCCTCCCAATCCATCACCATGGGAACAGATAGAGCCATAACCTGAGGATCTTCACTACGCCTGGAGAGAGCATCTACAGCTTTATTTTTTAGCCCAGGCTTGTACTAGATCTCAAAGTCATATCTCAATAACTTAATTAGCCACCATTGATGCTCCTCTGTCACCATCCTTTGCTCTAACAGGAACTTCAAACTTCTCTGGTCGGTCTTGATTATGACGTGTTTCCCCAACCGGTAGGGTTGCAACTTCTTTATTGCCAACACTAT